TACCCACGATGCCATTATATACGATCGTGGATGTCATGTAACATGTCAAACGAAGAAGAAGAAGAAAAGAAAAGAAAAGAAAAGAAAACAAAAAATGCCCCGCTGCTCAGTCCACGTCGCGACACAACTGGCTGAGTGACAAGACTGCACGCAGCAAATTATATCGAGCCTTTCTTGCTCCATACCAACTATTCTTTTTTATATATAAATAAAACCACCCACAAAAAAAAAAAAAAAAAAAAAAAAAAAAAAAAAAAAAAAAAACTTTGCTGCAATAGGTTGCAAGACCCCCGACTGCGTCGGTGGTTCTGGATCGTCTGGGCCAGCTTCTGCCGGCAATCCAGGGACTTCGACTGACGTGCCTGGAGAACCTGCGTCGACGTCTATTCCTAGCACAGCTGCTAGTGCCTCCTCCGCAGATGGGTGTTTCTCCCCTCGCGGGCCTCCTTGTCCATCCTCGATATCAATCAACTCTGGGCCAACAGGGGCGCCCGCAGCGGGGCGGGTCGCGGGGTCAGCGTCAGTCAATTGAGCACAAAGCACGACACAAGACTCAAAGAACTCAGTCATGTCATACTCGGTGACTCGGACTAATTTCGGAGCGCGGGGTTGATGCGGTTCAGTCGGCCGCGCCGCTGATCCACCCCCAGTTTCGTCATCATCGTTCTCTGCCGCAGGGCCAGCGGTAAATGATTGTGGAGCCTTGGGCGGCGGGGGATCGAGAACGGTGGGCAGCTCCCCTTGCCATCCTACTCGTTGCGTCGAGATGCGATGTTCACAACCCAGGTACCTCGCAACGTTCAAGGGGGGAATCGATCTCAATCCCTTTTGGGCAACCTGCAGAGGCCTCTAGCAATAGCCGCCGGCCCTCTTTCCTGCCTCGGATTCGGCGAGCTTGCGACCGGCTTCTCCAGCGGCCGTCTCATCCGCATGCGCCTTCAGAACAATTTGTTGCATATGTGCACTTGTTGCTCTCAGATGATCCCTATCCTGTTTCTGTTTTCCTTCCCACTCCTGAATGGCGATGCAACGGCAATGATGTTCCCCCAGCGCGACGCATTCTTCGCAGAGCCACGCCAAACTGCACTTCGGGCACACCCTCGAACATTGTGCGCGTACAGCTCGGCGACAGGAACCCCCCGGTTCGCGTGCTTTCCCCGGGCAACGATTCTCTGCCCGAGGCGGGCATCTTGAGCCTGCCTCCCAGCAGCTCTCCCGGATCGAAAAACTAATGGTGGTCATATTCGACAATGGACGAGGTGACTCGAGGGCATCAAATCCCCCGGACCTGGAGCGCCCGGCTCTGGGAACCTTTTCACGACCCCGGCTGGGCGCGGATGCATGTCGCCCCCTCGTTCTTGACCCCTTGTTCCTAAGAGCGTCGCGTTGTCCCTGCGTTAGCTCATCCCTTTCGCCCTGCACAATGAGAACGCGAAGCCCTGGCACGCTGTCATGGTCAGCCCTTGGTAGCGCGACGTCTGGTCGATGGAAACCCTGCGACAACGGTGGGGGATTAAGATCTTCAGGATCGCTCTTGGTTCTCCGTGTCTTTTGGAGCGGGGTCGCACCAGTCGGCTCTCTCGCATGCCGAGCTGGACGCGTGGCATCGGGCGAATTCACCATCGGCTGAGCCCACGAACTCCCCCTTCCACAACCCGCTCTCTCTGTCGGGGATTCTTTCACCCCCAAGCTCGCCATCCGAATCAAGGATGAGTCTTCCGAAGGTCCTCAGCCGCCGCGCAATCAATCGCCTCTGCATCTGACAAGTCTACGCTCGAGGCGAGACCGTCAGATTCGCCCGGGAGAGGATTGACCTGATGTGATGGTCCAGGCGACAGATGAAAGTGCACATCTTCTTCGTTATTTTCGAATGTGAGCTCTCTTCCTCGGACTGTCCGTCGCTCTCGTCTTCGCCCTGTCCATTCATCACAAACTGTGTTACTTGTTCCTCGTTCCGATTGTCTTATCCCGCCATTCCTATGGAAACACTTATTGGCGAGATCTCCTCTCCATGGATCGAGTTACCCGACGTCCTTGGGCCCCAGTGCACCGATGCGATTTCTGATGGCATTCTGACGGAAGCACTGGTTGAGCCATGCCCTCGGCCCGGCGTTTGAGCTCTCATGTTCGTCTGGCTATCAATAGGGGAATCTCCCTCTGTCAAAGCAAACACGGGGTCCAACGCTTGCCTTCTGGGAGGCTTGAAAGAACTAGGCCGCCCCCTACAGGCGCGCTTCGTACTCATACGCTCGGGGCGGTGTTGTTGTTCAACTTCTCCAAGCGTTCCCTCCTGCGGCCCCATGCTCAGCGAAGCCAACGGCTGAGCCGTCGTTTCGGCTGATAACCAGCTTTTTGCCTGGACATCGATAACCCTGCAATTTGTTCCGATAGCGTCTCATGTTCAGGGGGGCCCGCCGAAGCTAGGGCAAGGAAGGAGTGTTCTGTTAAGTTGACTGTAGAATAACCCTGAAAGGAGGAGGCCGGCCCGCCGGTCGACGCACGCGAGGGCGGTCACGCCCCCTTTTCCGCTGTAGTAGAGCCTATATGGCTGCAGAAATCGAACATGGCAGTGCAAAGGAGAGAAGGCAAGGGCAGCGGGATGGTGGTGCGGAGAGGGGTGCTCGTCCTCCTCCTCCTCGTCCTCCTCCTCCTTTTCCTCCTCATCCTCCGCTTCCTCATCCTCCGCCGCCTCCTCCTCCACCTGCCTCAGACGTCAATATGCCAGGATGCTAAAAGCTGCACCGTAAGACCATTGATATCCACATTCGCGACACGCCCACCGTTAAGACCGTCACGATTTTCAAGAGACAGACGGCCAACTTCAAATGACGTCACGGGTCGCTGTGGAAATTTCGTCGACCTCACCGCCAAAGGGAGAGATGGCGTGACAAGTTGAGTATGTTCCTGGATCTGCTAATGACAGCATTCATCGTAACTGGTGGAGCCGTGACTTGTGCGACAAGAACCGGTTGGTGTGTCGGAAAAAACACCTTCCGTGCTCACAGCACAGAACACACTGCTCTGGGCCATTCGGACAACATGGATTTCGTACCGCTGGCATCGAAAAGATGTGTTCCAAGCTGTTCAATCGGCGCGGAGGGGGACACGTCATAGGGGAGTAGTCCTTCGCAGGGCGTGCGGGGGGTGAATCGCTTTCGGGGGTGAGCTCGGTACGCGTGACGAGGAAAGAGGCAGGACGGGCCGTCGGGTGGATTGGCATGGGGGGGTGCTTCTTCAAAAAAATCAGGGAAGACCGCATCAACGTCTGGAGTGCGTTGGCAAGCGATTTGCAGTCGTACTTGATGGACGACCTTCGCGAGCTCGCGTCCGTCCGCTGCGCAAGGAGGAGCGAGACGCCCCGATCGCGCGCCGACCGACGTCGCGGCGCCTGGTGATGTCTGGTGAGCCCGCTGCAGCGTCCCAGCCCGGCGTTGCCGTGTGCAAGATCCTTCTAAAATCGGCGCAGCTGGCAACGCCCACGGGGGAGAGATCTGGTCTGGATCCGTTTAGCACCGCACCCAGGTCCCAATCGGATCTGCGCAGGACACTGTTTCAAGATTGGCTACGGGACCCGCCCGAAAGCCCCGCCGGAGGAGGGGGGCGGGGGCACGGCGGGGGGGGAGAAGACGGGGGGGAAGGAAGGGGGAGAGGCTCACAAGAGATGTGCACCAAAACTCGATGGAAAAACACACACAAAAAAAAGCACTGTGGAAAAACACACACTGCGTTTTTTACTGTGTTTGTTCTGCAGATCCACCGTAGAGCGGCAAACGAGGTACGTACTGCTCGAAACAGTCACAGGTCCAGGTGTGCGTGCGGTGCCGTTCTCTCGGCGACGGCAACCACAGTCAGCGTGCGGGTTCTGCCTTTTCCCATGCAAGATACAACGGCTGGCACAACCACATCGCGAATCAACACCGCAGAAGCCAACCTGCATTACGCAAACTCATGCTATGAACCGTGGCCTGAACAACAACTCGACACTGCAGTGACAACAGGAGGGAGAAGGGAGGAGAACGAAGGAAGACAAAAGGGAGCATAAGGGAGAACGGACAATCGCAGGCGGATTTGAGCATGACGACGTCGTGCGTTCAGGTGATCCTAGCTCGGGGTGACAGCCCTATCACCTAGCATAGCTAGCCTTATCTTCGAGTAGGTTCGCTTCACTACCGAAGCGTGGCGCAGACATGTTGGAGAAGAACACCGTCCTTTCTGCGAGCTGCATAGGGAGCCGATGCATTGGTCGCACCAAGGAAGCTATGTGAAGCCACACCGCAGGAACGTCGACTGCAGGTGTAAGGTGTCGCCCAGCTGAAACGTCCAGGAGCTCACGAACGTGGCGACACGTGCGCAGTTGGCAAGGCCCACGGAAGGGAGATCTAGACAAGGTCAAGTTAGCACAGCACTCTGCTGGAAGGGGCTCACAAAAGAGGTGAAGTTTTCGCAGTTGGCAACACCTTGAGGGGCGAGGTCCCATGTGGGTCCGCGAAGAACACCACTTCCCTGGACCACCCAGGAGCTCATGAAAGTGGCGACTAGTGCGCAGCTGGCATCGCCCAAGCAGGCGGGGTTCACTTGGGATCTGCGTCAGACACGCTCCGCTGGACCGCTGGACCTCCCAGAGGCTCACAAAATTGGCAACAATGCGCAGACAGCACAGCCCTGGCAGGCGACGACCCAATTAGAATCTGCGTGACGCAATATTCCGCTGGACCTCCAGGAGCCCACAAAACGACGGGTGCGTATGTGGCAGCAGGCGGGATAGGAGGCAGCTAGAAAGCGCGGGAGACAAGAGGAGGTAGGAGGCAGGAGGGGGTAGCATGTAAAGACGAGAGGATGGGAGGAGGCGGGAGACTGAGGAATGAGGAGGGGACGCAAAATGTGCCATATTAAAACCGATTGCCCAACCGTTGGGGCAAAAACACACCAACAGGAACAACACCATCGTCATGAGCACCAATGTCCTGTCCTCAACCGCCCCCTCCTCTTCCAGGAGCGGCCTAGGCAGTAGAGGGTGGTCAGCAGGAAGAACTTCCCGAAGCCCCTCCAGCCCCCCTCCTTTTCCTGGCGCGGGCGCACTGAACATCGTCATGTCCACGCATCGCTCGCTTGTGTGCAGCAATGGTTTCGGTTGGCTGCCGGGCATGGGTGCAAAATCGGGAAGGGTGACGCCACGGGCGGGAAGCGGGAGAAAAGGGGGAAACGGCCAGCCAAGCGCGCTGACGCCACGTCTGATATCCGACCCTTCCCTCCCACGTCTTCTGTCTACGTGGGGCCCTTTTTATCCACCCACTCGGATGCCCCGTAAAGATTATCCCCGATTGGCAAGCATAGCACGTGACCCATCGTTTACCCAGACCGACGGGGCTGATTGTTATTTCGAGGAGTAGGGGGAAGTAGAACTGCGCGGGGGGAAGCTTGACGAAAAAATGCAGAACGATAATAACATGTAGTTTAATACGCGCCGGCGCTGAAGCCAAACGACGGCAGTGCATCCCATCTGGGCCAGGGTTGCGCGGGCGATCGAACAGGTCTGGCAAAGACGCATCAACGGGGAGAACGGAACCAGAATTGTCCAACCCCATGCACGCCCGCAACTCAGCAAAGGTACCCTATCGCTGTCTGGCCTGCGCGGCACGGCGGAAGGCGGGCTCACCATCTGGCCAGAGCTCGCTCGCACTCCTGGGGGTGGCACCAGAGGAGCACACACGTACACACACACACACACACACACACACACACACACACACACACACACGTACACACACGTACACACACACACACACACACACGAGTAGAAGTGGCGCGAAATGGACCAAGCCGCGTCTGTGCAACCCCAGGGCCGCAAACAAGCCGCCTGAAAGCCTGTCGCAGACGTCTGGCGAGGCAGCGGCCCGGGGCCACGCGGAGGGGCGAGGTCGAGGCGCAACGACGCCCTGGCCAGGTCGGTCAGTGAAGGCGGGGGAAGGAAGATGACTACGAGGGAGGCACATTCCTTTTTGCACGATCGCCCCGAGCTCACCGCCTCAGTCACTGGGCGCGCCTGCTGCGGCACTGCCCCTCGGCGACTTGTCGCGTTCGCCAGCGTCGGCCGCTTCGCGCGATGAAGCGGCCGCGCGCTGTCGCTCGGCCTTCTCGCCTCCACGACGCGCATCCTTCTTGGGCTGGGCGCGGTTGCCCTTGGGCTTGCTATTGCCCTTGCTCTTGATATTGCTACTGCCCTTGCTCATGCCCGCCAGTTGGGCCGCGTGGCGACGCGACCCCGAGGGGGCCCGACCCCCCGCGCGGCCAGACCGCTGCCGGCAGAAAGAGAGGGCCCCCGCCAGGCGGCGCAGGGCACATCGCTGCCGCACCCCATCTCGCGAGAGCGGCGCGGAGGGGCGCCCAGCCTCCGCTCAAACATCGGCCGAGGGGGGCGCGGCGACCAGGGCGCGCGCCCGCCGTGGAAGGCCGACCTCGCCCTGGGGACCGGCTGCCGAGGACAGCCGCCGCTGGCGGGCAGCCCCTCGGCAGCCCCGTTCGCGGGGAGCAAAGGGCCTCGGCCGCAACCCAGCCAGCTGACCAGGTCGACCAGCCGCCAACACCAGCGGCATTCAAGCCGCCCCAGAAACGACCACGAGGACCAGACCTGAAACAGCTTCGCGATGAACAATGCCATCCTGACTGGGCCCGCCCCACGTCGGCAACCCAGACCACTGCGCGCCGAGCCTCGCGCATGAAGGCGGCGCGCATCACCAGCTCCATGGCCTCGCCGCTAAAGAAGCACGTTCGCGCCGCCGTCGGCGAGGCGGCTTCGCTGATGCGCCAGTCCTTGAAGAAGTTGTGCACTGCTTGATCTGCCTCACTTCACAGCGACAGCTACGATGGAGAGAGCGCCCCCCCCCCCTCGACTCCTCCAGCGCCGCGGGTGGCACCTCCGGTGGAAACGCCTCGCGTCGCGGAGCGGGATCAGCTTTGCCCCTGCTGGCGGGGGCCATGCGAGGGCGCCCGGGGGCAGACATGGCGGGCGAGCGGCGGCGACGGCGCGCGCGGGCGGACGACTGCGAGACTGAGCGGCTTATGCCCGCAGCTGCCCGGCCCCCCTCTGGCCGCGCACCCTGATCGACTCCTGCAGCCAACGCCGCGAGCGCGGCGATGGCGGCGGCATCCTGGGCGGCATGCCTGGCGGCCTCACTAGCCGCGGAAAAGGCGCCCCCGGGTGATCTGGCGGAGGCGTCTCAGACCGTTCGCGCCAATGATGCGCGGGGCGGTCGTTGGGCGCCTCGGGGGCCGATTCTGATGAGGGCACTTCCGTTGGGGACACCGCAAGCTCACTCCTCAGCTGCCGCGGCGGCAGCATCGGAGGCTCAGGGGGGTCCCCCCTCGGTGCGCGGCCGCCGCTCGCGGCAGCGGGCGGCCGCCAGCGCGCGGCGGCGCGCGCCGGGCACGCGGGCACGCCGGCGGACGAGCCTCGCGGCGGGACCCCGAGCGCCAGCGCCGGCCAGCGCGCGAACCTGCCGTTCAGAAAAATGGCGGCGGCCTCATCTGACCCTAGCTCTGCCCATTCCAACTGACGTACTTCCCGCGTTAGGACACACACACACACACTTGCATAATCCGCACACCTCTGCGCCAACAACAACTGCACCTGGACTGTCACGCTGCAGCACACTCCCCCACCACTACAGAGTACGCGACTGCGAACTTCCTGAATCCGATGAGGATGAGGAAAGATGCTTGGTCTCGGGAGAGGGAGCACAGAGCAATTCTGATCGCTGTTCAGTGTGAGCCTACAGGCGTCGGCTGGCGCTCCTGGCCTGAGATCACCATGACATCACCAGCCGCAATGAGGGTAGCGGCGCATGGTGCCCGCATGTCCGCTGGCGGAAGCCGCCAGCTACGTCGTGGAGAGCAAATCAGCGGACGCTGCCCTGGGCGAGCCCATCGGCGAACATGTCCCTCGCGTCTTCCGAGCTCAGGGCGCAGCAGACCCGATCACAGGAATTCGTGGATCCAGAGCACGCGCGGCAACAACGAGCTGTCTGCTGGGGGCTTTGGCCCGGCAGCCGTGGCGTCTGTGACCGCGCCCATAGGATCCTGTAGGACTGCTATACGAACCCCATAAGATCCTAAAGGACTCCTATACGCATCCCATAGAACCCTACAGGACTCCTATACGCATCCCATAGGATCCTGTAGGACTATTACACGAATCCCATAAGATCCGGTTAGACTCCTATACGAATCCCACGGGATCTTGTTGGACTCCTATACGAATCCAATAGGATCCTACAGGACTCCTATACGAATCCCATAGGATCCTGTAGGACTCCTATACGAGTCCAATCAGATCCTATAGGACTCCTAAGAGAATCCCATCGGATCCTATGGGACTCCTCTACGAATCCCATAGAACCCTATGGGACCCCGATACGAACCCCATCGGACCCTACAGGACTCCTATACGAAGCCCATAAGATCCTGTAGGACTCCTATGCGAATCACATAGGATCCGATTGGAAACCTTTACGTTTCACAAAAGGTCAGATAAGACTCCTATACGAACGCCATGGGATCCGATGGGACTCCGCTTCGAATCCAACAGGATATTATAGTAATCTTTCACGATTCCCATCGGATCCTGCAGAACTCCTATACGAAACCCATAGGAACCTTTAGGATTCCTACACGGCTCTCATAAGATTCTAAAGGACTCTTACACGATACCCATGGAATGCTATCGGACTCCTATACGAGTCCAACCGGATCCTATAGGATTCCCATACGAAATCCATGGGATCCTATCGGGCTCTTATACGAAACCCATAAGATCCGATACGAGGTTCATACGATCCGATAGGAGTCCTATACAAATCCCACTGGATCGTATAAGACTCCTATACGAATCCCATGAGATCCGATAGGACTCCTGTACGGATTCCACAGGATCCTGTAGGATTCCTACACGCATCCCATAGTTTCCTATAGGACCCCTATACGTATCCCATCGGATCCGACAGGATTCCTATACGAATCCAATCGGATCCTACCGGGTTCCTATATGAATCCCATTGGATCCTGTAGGACTCCGATACGAAGTTCATAGCTTCCTACAGGACTGCCATACAGATCCTGTAGGATGCTATAGGACTCCTATACGAATCCCATCGGATCCTATAAGGTCCCAAAGGACATCACTGGACTCCCATGCGGCCTCAGGGCGCGGGGTAAGGTGCGTTGCATTGCGTTGCGTTGCGCCTTGGGGCGGGGGGGGCGGGCGCCAGCCAGTGGTTTCGTCAACAACAACGACAACAACAACAACAACAACAATCATCATCATTTTCAGTTTGTTCGCCCTTATCTGCTCGAGTGTTCAAAAACGCGTATTTCCCAAACCCTCGATACCCGCCCCCTTCGTCTTCGATCGAACACCTGTCGGGGGGTATACTTTTCTTCCCTGCAGGCCGGGCCCCGGCAAGCGGCGGGGCGGCCGCGGACCGTCGGCCTGGCCAGCGGCAGCGCTGATCGGCGGGGCGGCCGTGGACCGTCGACCCGACCCCAAGAGGGACGGACAGGGGACCGACCACGACGACGACGACGACGACGACCACGACGACGTCGACGACGACGACGACGACGACGACGACGACGACGACGACGACGACGACGACGACGACGGCGACGACGACGACGAGCGAAAGCGAGAGCGAGAGAGGACGACAGCAGGGCCACAAGGACACGAAGTAGGTCACGAAGGGCGACAGCGGGGACGCAAAGGGAATGCGTATGGGACCACGAAGAGCGCGAACGAGCGGGGGCCACGAAGGGCAGATAATGCGGGGCCACAGAAGGCAACGATGGGGCCACTGAGGGTTGCAACTGGGCCACGTAGGACAGTGAGGGGGCCACAAACGGCGACAGCGGGACCACGAAGGGCATGCACATGGGGCCACAACGGGCGCGAACGAGTGGGGGCCACGAAGGGCATAGGTAGACTGGGCCGCGGAGGGCAAGGACGGGGTCACTGAGGGTAGCAACGGGGCCACGAAGGGCAGCGACGGGGCCACGAAGGGCGACAGCGAGGCCACGAAGGGCATGCAATGGGGCCACCACGGACGCGAAAGAGCGGGGGCCACGAAGGGCATACATATATGGGGCCACGAAGGGCAGCGAGGGGGCCACGAAGGGATGCAACGGGGCCACGAAACAAAGCGAGGGGGCCACGAAGGGCTGCAACGGGGCCACGAAGGGCAGCGAGGGGACCACGAAGGGCTGCAACGGGGCCACGAAACAAAGCGAGGGGGCCACGAAGGGCTGCAACGGGGCCACGAAGGGCAGCGAGATCCCGATTCCTAGGTCATCTGTGAGGGAGTCCTAAGCGTGAGCGCGACTCCTGGGTGCCTGGGTGTCGGAAGCGCGGCGCTTGAGTAAATCGCAGGCAATTCCAACGCAAGGGCGCTATTCTTCAGTAAATTGCAAGCAAGTCTCCAGCGATACCGCGACTCCAGAACGCTGGGAGAGCGATGTATGAATAAATTGCACGTAAGTCCCAAGCGAGAGCGCGATTCCTCAACAAAATGCGAGGAAGTCTCGGGCGGGAGCGGAGCCGTTGTTGTAACCCAGGGGCCAGGGGCACAGTTTGAGCCTCTCAAGACTTTCCCTGAAAAAGAACAGGGTGCGAGCGTCGAGGGGCACACTTTGACTGAGAAAAAACGTATGCACCTGTGGGGGGATCAACAAGAATTGTTCTTCAGAAATGAAAGCTCAACAACAACAGCAACAAACCTCAACAACAATAACAACAACAAACATCAACATCCACATCAGCATCAGCATCAACAACAACAACAACAAGAACAACAACATAGTATGGTTTTCAAGAAAGCGCGAGTGCGGAAAGCTGGCATGTTGTGTTTGCATGCCCAAGGCGTTCCAACGCTTGGAGAGACATGATTAGCGTAGCTCGCAGACGAATCTCGCTGACGAATGGTCATGGCATGCGCGCGCCAGGGAGCGTGCGCATGCGGCCCGCACGGCAGCACCTATGTTGGGTCGGGCATGTCCCCCTAGCCCTACAGGGGATTCTGGACGAAAAACCAAACGTACCCCAAACATGTTGTCTGACGATTCTTGAATTTTCCTCCTGTAGAGGGACAGGCCCGACTTGATGATAGGTTAGCATGAGGGGAGCGAACGGGCACTCGAAAGAGCGCTCTCTACCGCTATTGGAGAGCACCCGCCCCAGGGTTCGAACTGGGGGGATTAAAGTGTCCCCCCCTCCGAGCTGTGCTGCTAGAGGTGCCCCTGGCCCAAGGTGCTGCCAGCTTTTCGCTCCATTTTTGGGCCCCTGGGGCCCTCTGGGCCTCGATAACTAGGGGTGCTCTGGAGGCCGTCTAGGCCACCCCGAGAATCCTGGGGGCAC